CTATGTCACTCTACACATCACAGTTATTGCACGGGAACTAAGGAGGCAAAAAAAAATAATGACCTAAGTTCCTCTCCCTACTTTTTTTCGAAATGCATGATTAAAAAAAAAGCAGGAGGCAGAAAAATAAACAAAATAATAAACAAAAATATGAAATTTAGTAGTGCAGTACTTTTACAAGTGTCTTAAACTTTTTACAAATAACATTTATAATTAGATTATTTGCACTTTGTAATAAAAATAAAAGCTATAATTAAAAAAAAAAAAATTTAACTGACATAAAGAAATTAACCGCCAATGAAATCAAAGCTAGAAAAAAAAAGGCTGAAGTATAAAAAGCTTGTTTTTCTCATTTCTAAAGCAAATCTTTTTTTCCACTTCAATATACAGGGTATTTTGTAATGATTGCTCTTAATATATATTTTAAGTCTCCAGAATCAAAAATGAAATTAGAACGTATCCATGTTAGGGATAGGAAACTAATATTAAGGAAGAAAAAACAACACTATCAAAATTTAAGATATCACAATTGAAAAATGTAGGACTAAAAATATCAAGACCTGTTTGATTGGAAGAAAGAAACAATGATTATTGGAGACACCACTAAGTTTGATCACACAACCAAACTGGTTTTGACATTTTACAATCCACCTTAATCGTTAGTGATTTCACAGGTTTTAATAACGAATTTAGTTTTCCCTTGCTTAAATATTAACTTGTGTTCCTTAATGTATTATTCAGCTTCATTTCTAACAAAGATTCTAAAAAATTATATTAAAAGCAGTTATTACAGATCATCCTATATATAAATCGAGAAAATATGAAATTTTTGTACAACTTAACATTAAAAAAAAAAAAATTAACATTTCTTTTAGCTAGAAAGAATTTTTGATATTGATTCTGTTTTGCTCACAAATTATAAAATGAATCTGTAATTAAAATACACATTAGGTTCCAATCATAAAAACATACTTAGTTCATCCCCACTTTGTTAAGCACTTAAGTTCTACTAATATGGTTCATACTACTTATAATAATTAGCACCCAGATAAATTTAAAAGAACCAATAATCTGAATGCAAGAAAAATGTAAATTATTAAAATTTAACAAACAGCTTACAGGACCACAAGGGACTACACAATCATCTGATATGCTAATAAATTTACTAACACTTCTCAAAAGATGCAATGAAATGTAGTTGCATACCTATTGCTTGAAATCCACAAGATAAGCTCAGAACAATTCCTCGTTGCATAGCAAGTACAACTTATTTCCAGTTTCATGACAATACTAAAGGGCTACAATTATTTTATTGCAGTAAAAAATAAAAGCCACACACTTGATTTAGAATGTATCACATAAAACTAGCCCAAGTGATACACTGGAAGATACATCTAAGGCTAGTTTTGTATGACACAATTCCTAAAGATACTTCCATTTAAAAATAAAACATATAAAAAAGTGTCAGTTAAAATGAGAAATATTAGAATAAAAACTCGCTTTAATACCAATCATGAAAACGTTTCCAGTTATGAATCTCGTTTAATAATGATCTAAAAGATCAGTACAATATAAAACAAGAACTATAAAAAAAATGAATAAAATTTGATTTTTCGTGACTAATAAAATATGATTTTTAATTATTATAAAATTGCTTGCTTTTGTTAAGTTAAAAAATTTTTATGGTTGTAAATTATATTTGAAATATGCTTTAAAGTTAAAAAACATAATTTGAATAAACTTTTGTTAAAGTACTAAAATATAATTTTTAATGATTAAAATAGAATGCTTGCTTTCTGTAAACAGATATTTTTTTATGATTGAAAATAAAATCTGACTTATGTATTGAAGTAAAAAATATAAAATAATTTGAAATAGCGATAGCAGTTATTTTTTAAAAAATCTTATTTATAATTTGCAATTAAATTGCAAATGAAATTTAGCACTAATTCATCAAAAAAATCAGAATTTATAATTTAAAAAAGCATTGTTTGACCAAATCATAATTCAGAATCTTTATTTTTTAAATATGCTGTTTTCTTTAATAATATCTAAATATTTAAGATAATTATATCAATATGATTATAATGACTATTTCAGACTAAATAAAAATCATTCTATAGAAACCAAAACATAGCTTTTGAAATTATATTAAAAATAAGAGATGGTAGAATACAGTATTAGAAAAAAAAAATTAACTTTTATGCTTACACTGCAAAAGCAATAATGAATTTAAATATAAATAAAGTTATTTGATTTCTTTCCCTTAGCAATTGAATGTATTTACAGATATATATTATTAATATTCTTAGTAATTTTTTAATTAAAAAAATGCTTTTTGAAATTATGTTCTAACTTTGAATATGAAATATATAATTATAGTTAGTTCGAAAAAGCAAAAATAAAATTTCAACTTAAATTTAAAATAAAACAAATACCTTTTACAATATTTATATATATATCCCTGATAATATTTAAAGTCTAGCACACAAGACATTTCATTTAAGAGAACTAAAAAGCACCACATTTATAACAGGTGAGATTGCAGGCACTTGCTTACACAACTAATACAAGTTTTACCTTCAAAATAGTGCTTTTCACGAAATTGCAATTCTTTGACACAATCTATAGCAGATAAATATTATTTTTGACCGTTATAACCACAAGCACACATGACTTCAAATTTTTGATATCCATAATTATAAAATACTGATTAAAAAGAAAACACTCTTATATGAAAAAAATTAAATGTTATAATATCAACATAAAGATAATAATTACATATTACAACATAATTATAAAATATTTTTTAAAAGAAAACACTCAGATATGCAAAACATTACAAGTTATAATAATAAAATCAACATGAAGAGTATTTAACATCAAGAGGATTCTTTTGATTTGACATAACATATTTTCTTTGATAAAACTAAATCATACTTGTTACAGTAAATTGCATAGCTACCAACACTTAAAATGCACAAAGGTGAACATGGTTGAAAAAAAAATTTTTTTTTTAAAGTAAGGAAATTTTATGTATTAAATAAGGAAATTTTATATTTTAATAATTATAAGTCAGGAAATTTTATATGTCTAGGCTCATTTGAGATCACTATCGAAGCTTTATAACATGGTGCTAATTGTAATAATTACAAAAAAAAGTCTGGGCTCTTTTCATAACAGCTAATTTAAAAATAATTATTTTAGAAATTAAATGGTTAAAAAAAAATAGTTTTTAGAATTAAAAATTATCCGACATTAAAATATTTTTATTTACTGATAATTAGTTCTAACTTGGGATGGACAGAAATAGAAATAACACTATTTTTCAGTTTGAGAAAAAATAAAGTTTTACAAATGCTATTGAAAATATTATACAATAATAGTAAGGATTTTTTTCTCTCCCAATCATTACAAAAGAAAGAAAAAAGATAAATTATATTTTATAAATTAAACTTCCTTTCCCTCCCTTTAGTTTTTACATCAGTAATGTTGAAATAATTAAAATGAAATAGTAATTTTAAACAGTGATTGTGGTTGGCTACAGTAATATTTTAAAATAAGCATACTTATCCCTTCTAGAAAATCAAATTTAGTTCATTAATGTTCGCACTAGACAAAATTCAAACAGGGTGCGTAGCCATATCTTTGAATCAAAAATAAGCACTTTTTAAAAACTTTTCAAGCACTTTACAAAAATTTTCAAGAACTCAAAAAATTCATACTCAATCAATGATATTATTGAAAAACAAAAGCTTTTTATAAACAGTTTTTGCGTTAAAAAAAACCCAAAAAGAAACGGGCGTCAATCGAAACAATCAGTACTTTCCCACATCACCGAGTGAATTCAACTTGACCCTGAACTCAGAACAAAAGTACCCTTACCCCCTACGTCAAAAAAAGTTTTAGAAGTAAAATAAAATAAACAAGAACAAAATTAAAATAAATTAAAAAGAAAAACATTTCATAAGGATCTGATATTCTCTATCCGAATTGGAGCACTCGGGTTTCGGTTTTAAGTGTGCGCGCATGCGCATAACGTGGGTACGACATGAATGATTACGTAGCAAACTCCCCATTTTTCGTGAAACGCATCGCATGGGATCCACCAGATATCACCGAAGGGAAAAAAATTATTCGGAAAAAAGCACTTTTTAAAAACGCCAGCTGAAAAAGCACCTTTAAAAGCTTTTAAAAACGAAATCCCCAAAAAAGCACCTTTAAGTACTTTTTACAAACGCTACGCACCCTG